TTTAAAATATAAATAGTTGTTTTTTGTTTTGTATGTATTGTTTGATTGGTGTTTAGATAGTGATGTATTTTGTTCTAAGATAGTATATATATGATTATTTAAGTTTGGTAGGAAAGTTAAGAGTTATTATTGTAGTGTGATTATTATATTTAGGTGGGATGGACGAGAAATTTTTTTATCAAATAGTTTTTTTGAAATGGTAAATAAAATAAGTTTGAAACTTTTTATTTTTATTTTAATATGTTGTTAACAATAACTAAGTCATAATAATTAATAAGTTTTTAATTGTTATTTAAGTAATTCTTGATATACAATATTTTTAGTGACAAATGTGTTTGATGAATTGTCTTTTTCAGAAAGTATTAATACATGGTTTCGTTGACGTACTCATGTAAGTGCTGTATAGAGTTGGCTATGACTGAATACTGGAGTATGCAAATCGAATACTATTCAGTTTAGTGTTAGTCCTCATGAAGAATTGAATGTTGAAGAATAGGCAAGGCGTAAAGGAAATTGGCGTCAGCTAATTTTAAAAGGAAAATATGGAATTTGAAATAGGAAAGTTATTCGTAGTATGTGTATATTAGAATGTGTTATAAGGTTTTGTATAGTAATCAATTGGTGACCAATATTTAATATAATAATCCTGCTATTTTTATACAAACCATCATATACTAAAAGATTTTACATTATTGTTGCAATACAGCCATGTTTTAACATAAGACAATGTGCAGGTACTCCCGATGAATTAAGTGAGTTTAATAATTCAACATTTATTATATTTCTTTGAATATTTTAATTTCCATATATTGTGCAATTGGTATCATCATCTGCTAAATTGTCAGTACTATATAGATTGACAGTATTGCCATCTAGTCATTGTAATGTAGCATTGTTGATAGAGTTTACATCTATATTTAATATAGATAGTATAGCCTGTTGTAGACATGCGATCAGATTGTTTAATATATTTGTTGGAAAAGTAAAATCAATAGCTTTATTTAATTCATGAGTTGTGTTGATTAATGATAGAGTTATATCTTCACCATTTATACCATTGCCTATGTTATCTATAAATTGGAAATATTCAGGATCATTTGTATCTCAAATTGGTTGTTGAAGATTATAAACTTTAAATGAGTTCCATATTGTAGACAATTTAATTGATTCTAGTATTGTAGCTGTTTTTCCAGCATTTGGAACTACAGGAGCAACTTGACAAAAATCTCCTATTCTGATAAAGATTTTTCTGCTGAAGGGTAAATTACAATTGCAAAGTTCACATAAAAGCATATCTACTGCTTTAATATTACCCTTTTGTGCCATAAATAGTTTATTCCAGATTATTACTGATGTTTCTTGAATTAGTTTTGCACGTTCACTATTTGATTTGATCTGACATTTATATTCATCTTCACTATATTCTACTGGAATATGAAATAATGAATAGGCTGTGCAGCCTCCATCATAATTGAGTGCAGCTAGTCCAGTTGATGTACAGAAAAGTATTATTTTTTTTAAACTTCTTACTATAATACAGATAGTGTTTACTAAAAATGTTTTACCTCAACCTGCACGGCCGTTAATAAAAACTGTTAGAGGTATGTTTTTATTTATATAATCTATGATTTTTTAATATATAATTTTTTGTTCAGAATTTAATTTGTGAACTATTTCTTCTTGTTTTGTAATTAGTTCTTCATAGTTATTATATTGAGTTTTGATATTCATTATTTCTGATAGGTGGTTTGTTGGTTGAGGTAAGCCTGTTTGTGTTATTTTGATACTATGTTCTTCCAAAAAATTAGCAATCCACATCAAAGCTTCATTTTCTCCTTCTTGCATATTTCTTTTTTTATTTATATAATCAGCAGATAATAGTTCATGATGATTTTGTCATACTGTTTGAGCAGCCATACCTTCTATAATAAGTCAGCAAAATAATAAGTAAAGTTGTGCTGGTGTACAGTTATAAGATATAGCTTCGTTGAAGCATTGTTCATATTCTGTTATATTTTCTAATAAGCCTAAAGCATGTGCTGCATCTTGAAATGTGGTATACAAAACTCTATTTATTGTTCTTAAATCTTCAAAAAATCGAGCTGCATGATAGTTCAAAAGCATGCATAGATAATATTTTTCACCTACTAATAGGCAAATTATGTTCATTCATATTATATATATATGATTTTGTTTATATAGTTTACAGTACATTGACGATATCCTTCAAGTCTTTTTTCTAAATAAGTATTTAGAGATAATGAACTTTAGTTGTATGATTGTTCAATATACTTAAAGCTATATTGTTCATTATATTTACAATATTTGAGGTTTTCGAATTCTGAGTTTGTTGGTCAAAGAAAATAGCATTGTAACATTGAAAGATTATTGTTGTTATTGCCTTGTATAATAATTTGTTCATTGGGTAAGTGTACGGGTAAACATGTTATTGATGGTGACTGTGAAGTTATCTTATATTTAAAAATTTGCCATACTGCTTCCATAGCAGAAAGACAATATGCATTAAGATAGTTATTAATTTCATCAATAATTTCAGGTTCATTTTCTTCTATGTATATATCAACTGTTGCATGATCTTGTCCTTTATAAATATATTTATACAGGTAAGAAATTACATGGGAGGTAGAAGCTACTTCTATGTTTATATGTGAATTTAATTTTAATAGTAGAAAAGCATTATATGGTATAATGTTGATATTATTTCAGTACAATGCCGATAACAAACGTATCCTTGTTCATTAATTATAGTATTTTCCTGTATAAGGCGAGGATAATTCCAATAGCACTTATTATGTTGTATACACCTTTGAGTATACTGGTGGATCATAAATTGGTTTACCAATTCACAAAGATGATTATGTTGAAGATTATTTTCTGCAGATATTTCTGCACTTATTACTTTGTCAATATCTTCAGGTTGAATTAAGTTTGGAGTTGATTTAATTATTATGTGTGCATGTGGTAAATCACGCTTTTGAAATTCAATAGCATGCATGTAATAAATTATTTTGCCAAAGTGCACTTTAAGCAATTTTTGTAAATATGTTAAGTGTTGTTTAAATAGCCTAATTACAATGTCAGGTCAGTCATCATAGTTTTGGCCTTAATGTAATTGTTGTTGGATTTCTGGCCAATTTGGATTTGTGTGAAGGTAATAAATAGTGTTGGACGTCCAAGTTTACTTACAATTGCAAGAGCATCCATTGTTTTTTTGTATGACCATCTAAATGAAAGAGTGTAAGAAGCTGGTAAATAAATACTTTCTGGGTGTAATTCTGCTTCATCACTTAGGGATTCATCTTCTTCTTGACCTCCTTTTCTAAATCTATATTGTTCCTTATGTATAAATTGTAATCTTTCATCATCTGCTCTACTAAACATGTCTACCAGATACTCATTAAATAGTCGACCAAGTAAATAAAATCGGGGTTCAGTCATAATTCGATAATGATAATAATCGACTTGTAAGATTTTTTGTCTAGTGGAATTTTTATTATTTACCCAGTATATATGCCATCCAATTTCTCTATGAGGAAAAAAAAGTGAATACTGTAGTGCTTCATAGTATTTATTAATAATATTAATATATTCAGGCTCTTTCTCATTAATACACCATATTTGAACACATATTTCTTGTACTATTGCTGTTGAATGAACAATTACGCAAGCTGTAATTTCGATATTTGCTATTGGTTGTTGAATTACTAATCTAGCTTGCAGATAATTTGTATCATACAATTGATATAAACCTTGAATAAATAGATTAATAGCAGCTAACTCTTGTTCAATTAGATTAACAATGTTCTGATCAAGTTTATACTGACTTGCAATATTATTTCATGTATCGGCATCAAACACAAACCAATTTATTGAGTAATCTGTTGTATTGGCAGAATGAATTTGGTGATATGCATGGCTATTAACAGTGAATGCATGAGAATGTGGTAAGTGAGCTACGCTGCCTGTATAACCAAGTGTTGTGAATGAAAACAGAGCATTGTATTGTCGACTAAGATGACTAAAATTTTCTTGAAAATTAGACATATAAATATTTTGTAAAGGAAGTGGTAATAGGTGTAAAGGTGATATTAAGTTTCTTAATATAGGATTGCAACAGAAATTTTTTTTTTTATTGAAGAAGTTGTGCTCCACAGATAGAACATGGCATTCTCCACTTAGGTGTATATTCATGTGTTTGACAATTTTCATACATATCTGATAGTGTTTTCCACCAGTAATGATTATTATTACGATTGTCATTAATGCTATTTGTAGTTATTTCATTCTAATGATAAGTGTTGTTCGCAGCCATAAAAGCTTCTTTTTTTTTTTTTTTGGAGCAAAGTACAAATTCGATTATTTTGTTCTTATGTATTGAAAAAAAATCAAATTAACATAAAAGATAATTGTCACTTTTAATAATTGTCAAAATGACAATTACGAATCATATGCAGTTATTATAATTAAGATTATAACTAATCATAATTATTAGTTATTGTTACTGGTGTTGTTAAGTTTCAATTGATAACTTTGTTCTATTATTGTTTGTATTAATTACATTATTGTATCGTCATATTTCATATTAAGATTTATAGAATAGATAAATTTTATTATGTGATACATAACAAATAAATTTTACAATTTATAGAATAGATAAATTTATTATATGACATATATTCACAAAAAAAAAATTAATAAGTTAATAAATTTCAATTACTATGAATTTTATGAAATTTCATAATAATAATCATTATTGTTATTTTTTATTTAATTATCTTTTTTTGGTTAAATTATTAGAAATTACATATTATCTTGCAAATTTACGTTTCGATGATTATATTTTTTTTTGATTAGTGATCAAATTTTGTAGTTATTATGTATGATATTCTTTTTTTTACAAACGTCAAAAAATGTAATACTGGTATGATTTTCCTTTATTTTTGTCAGTTTAAATTCATGAATCAGGCGTAATCTATTAAATGTCATCATGTGATAAAGCTTATCCAATAACTACACCAACTGCATCTCCAAATTTTCTGTGCAGTCACGTGATATTATGCATCTATTTTTACAAATAAACAAAAAATTAAAGTAATTTAACCTAGACATTCGATTAGCGTTAGGGTGAAATTAGAGCATATTTAATACTAAAATTTGACGAGGAATTTTTTTTGTTAGAACGCAAAAGGCGGTTTCCTATGTAGATTTTCTAGTTATAAGCGATTTTTTGATAAAACGAACGTTTGTTTTGAATTTTCCTGATTGTGCTATGTTACACCTGATCTTGACATCTGATTGGCTGTGCAGAATTTTTTGGAGGTGTTCTTGGTGCAGTTTTATCCAATCAATATACAAAGTTTTATGTCGATCCAAATGTGCGTTATTTATAATGTTGTTTGAACATATATGTGGTTGCATTTTTATATATACTGTTATACTTAGCTTTGTTTAGTGGATCTTGCTTGGGAGCAGGTGATTTTTTCATAATTACCAGATTCAAAAGTTGATAGAATGTTGTATATTTTCCTATAATGCTGATCTTTATTGTTCTGTAGTTGTGTCAACCCAATGCACAGTTATATTCATATGCTTAGGAAGCACTGCATTTCTGCCTTGGTATTAAATATTATTGTTTCATTGTTTTTGTATAGTTTTTTTATATGCTTAGATCACGTTTACACATGATCTAATTTTTCTAGTAATTACTGAATTTTTGCAGTTCATGTAACTTGGTGTATATTCTCATGTATTATAGCTTTTCTATTTTTATACAAAGTTCTATGTCGATCCAAATGTACATTATTTTATCATGTTGTTTGATAAAAAATATAATATTTATAATTTTAAAACAATGATTTAAATTATATTTTAGCTTATAATTTTAGTAACTTTTAGTTATTAATAATATAAATTTAGAGACTTGTTAATGGCACCTCCTATTTTTGGTAATGGCACCCCCACATGATCTATCCGGCCTTCGATCAATATCAAGTGATTCTGACACATCTCTTTGATTACACCAATTGCTCAAAATAAGAATCATCTAAGTTGATTTATAATAAATTTGTAAAGTAAAAGTCATGTGAGGCATATAAATTACTACCTGGCTTTAGACGATCTCTCAAAATGTTATACAAGATTACATTGACATACAAAGACATTATACAAGCCAATCTTTATTACCATTACATATACATGCTCAAAGTAAAATATTGCGCCACAATTATATTCAACAAACTTAATGAAACATATGTCATCACAATATACTTTAAGTAAAAAAGGATAGATTTCTAATAAAATGCATATATAAAACCTGATCTACTATGAATAAATACATGATAAGACACAAATTATCTTATTTAATTCAAGGATAGAAGCGTTATTGATTTAACTTTGAATTTCCTTATGTATTTCATAGATTAGGTTTTAATATAACATAAGGCCTAATTATATACGATATATAATAATAGACATACATAAAAACCTGAAATCAAATTTTGCAAACTGCTAAAATCATATAGTTTGTTAACATAATCAAACTTACATGAAATGCAGGTTAAGAATTAAAATCAGTTTAGTTGACTAAATCAATTCTAATCCTTGATTGTAATTGCTCAAAATTAGCTATTTTGCAAACCTTTTACCTGTATCTTTCTTACATGTTGATTTTAAGCTACAATTGGAACAATAATTGCTCAAATATGCATGATTAAAAATCTGATCATAATACACAATGATGCAATAAATTGACTTGCGAGCAAATAAATAGAGAGCAATAAACTCATGATTAAAAACCTCTCTTACCTTTTTGATTTAAAAATTGAGATCTAAAAACTGTTTACTCTTAAATTGCAAATGGTTAACAACTCCAAGAAAAGGATATTTTGTGAAAGTAAAAGTTAGTTGAGCTAAAAATTTTGGAAAGCTAAAACTGAAACTATCAATATAATCTTTTTTTTTCAAATGATATAATCTGTTTTGTTAATTCATTATAAACGTGCTGTGTATATTCATTTCTTATCTAATATTCAAGTATACTTCCACCTCTGCCCAGAATATTAATTATTAGAATATATAATAAAGAAATCTGTCCGTGAATCTGCACGTTGATTGGTTATTTATTCATGATTTGATTGGTTAAATTAAATCATGTGCATACTGTACAATTACGTATGATTGACGACATAATTCCGAATCGTTAGGATCGTGAGAGATTTTCCATTAAACTAGATCATGTGCATACTGTACAATTACGCACAATTGACAACATAATTATCAAATCGTTATAATCGTTTAGTTACCGGAGAATTACTATGAAAATTAACGTGATCACAGTAACAGGAAGAAACAAGTACCCTTATGTCAATAAAATCCTGGGCTGCATTCACTTCCGATCTTGCATATCACTTCCGATTTAGCTCCGGAGGTCAACTATTTTAAATTTACAATTAACTAATCATTTTTAACGTAAACGACATTGAAATCTGTCCGTGAATCTGCACGTTGATTGGTTATTTATTCATGATTTGATTGGTTAAATTAAATCATGTGCATACTGTACAATTACATGCGATTGATGACATAAGCCCGTTTGAAGTTGATTCTTCGTTTAACATCACTTTGCCAGGACTCTCGAGAGGGGGGGGAGGGGGTAAAATGAAACGAACATATGAAACGAACATATAAAAATGAACGAAGGTGAGCAATTTCATTGGTTGATGTAAATCAGGTGACTGGCGAGAGTCATCCAGCGTTTTGATTGGCTGTTCATTTTTTGGGAGGAGACTTCAGCTGAGGGGGGGGGTGATGTTAACCGAAAAATTAACTTCAAACGGCCTAATTCCGAATCGTTAGGATCGTGAGAGATTTTCCATTAAACTAGATCATGTGCATACTGTACAATTACGCACAATTGATAACATAATTATCAAATCGTTATAATCGTTTAGTTACCGGAGAATTACTATAAAAATTAACGTGATCACAGTAACAGGAAGAAACAAGTACCTATGTCAATAAAATCCTGGGCTGCATTCACTTCCGATCTTGCAGATCACTTCCGATTTAGCTCCAGAGGTCAACTATTTTAAATTTACAATTAACTAATCATTTTTAAGTGCTAATTGTAATCGCTAATCATTAAGCATTAAGTGTTAATCATTAATCGTTAATCATTAAGCATAATTGCTAATTCTAAGTGTAATCGCTAATTATTAATTACTAAGTGTAATTACTAATCACTAAGCATAATTGCTAATCGCTATACATGTCTATTAAATTCTTCTCTAAGAGAAATATAATAATAACTAATAACTAATAAAATACAAATATCAAAAAACTGTTCTATAATATTACTTTTTCTATCGAACCTATAGAAGAAGAATTAGATATACTTTTTGCGCAACCCAATGCAGATATTATACAGATACAAGATACAGAAAATAAAGTTCTCGCTCGATTTATTAAGGATCTCACTGAAATAAAAGAAGAAGTTTTTATTCGATACAATCCTTTAATTGGAATAAACTTTAAAGAAAAACTTAGAGAAATCATTAGCCGATTAAAAGAAGAGAGCTGTGAAAAATCACGTGATTGACAGATACGAATATTAAAAACATCTTATTATTTAGAACAGCTAAAGAAAGAAGCTAATACTATAGTTTCTAATTAAGTTTTTATTTCAGATACTATGTCAAGGAAAAGGAAGTTTGGTTCACAGTTGTTTGGTTGCTCTCCACAACCAAGTACAGAATCTAGAAGCACAAACTGTAATTAGAAATCCTCTAGCTTTCGAAGCAATCCAGGAAGAATATATATGAAATTTAGGTATCGACAACTATTTGTTAAATGAAATAGTTTGTGAGTTCAGGTTGCAAATTCGGAGAATGAATTACAAGAGTTGAGACAAAATACGACTAAACAAAATGAAACTTCTTTTTCTTTTTGTAATATCTTGTAAATATTAATAAAAATAAAATAAATTTTCTAAATCTAATTCTATTAGTAATATAATAAAATTTTAAAAATTAATAAAATTTGTAATAATCGATAATTATATAAATAAAGTTAATAAAGAAATATAAATTCTAATCTAATAAATTAATTGGTGATTTGCCAGTCAACCAAAGAAGATCTGCAAATTTTTATAAGTAAATTTTACTATTGAGCCAAATGTGGAGTGCCCAAGCTAAAACTTTTTTTTTTACTAAGTAAATTACCCTTGTGCTTATAACAAAAGTTGTAGAGCTTATCAAAATACATCTAATGGTGATAAGAATGTTAAAATTAGCCTAGTAGTTCTTAAAAAATCTTTAAAAAATTTCTTTAAAAAAATCAATTTTTTTTAAAGAAATTTTATATGTTAGCAAAATGTTTTTTAAAGATTCTCAAGAACTACCAGGCCAATTTTAATATTCTTACTATCATTAGATGCATCTTGATAAGCTCTACAACTTTTGTTATAAGTCTAAAAGTGATTTACTTAGTAAGAAAAAAGTTTTAGATTGGTGCACTCCACATTTGGCACAATAATAAAATTTATTTATAAAAATTTGTAGATCTTCTCTGGTTAACTGACAAATCACCAATTAAATAATAAAAGAAGTAACAAATAAAGTTTTAATGAAGGGTGTAATGACTTAGTGAAGTGGTGAAGTTGTTACACCTCCAAGTAGCAGGACAAGAGTTCGAATCCTACTAGTAATGAAATTCAAATTTAAGAAATATGTTACAGCAGACTATATATAATCTGATGTATCATTAGATCTGTAGCTTTGGTCATACCAGCTTGTACTGAAAGGACGTAGAACAATAGTGTGATGCAAGAGTTACATAAAACCCAAGTGAAATGTTTGTATAAATTCAAGGGCTAGAGCATATGAAATCCTACTTGGCAAGTTCTGAGTAAAGAGATAGCACAGATCTTTAATAGTACTACATAAAAGATGATCATCGGTAATCAGACATCAACAATAAACTGGATGAAGACTGGGTGTTTGGCAAGACATTAATACCAACCAGGCCATGAGTATATAGGGTGACCTTGTATAAATGAGAAAAAAGGATTCAATCGGAATATCAAGGAGACACGTACTGTTCCTCTTCAGGCTATCTGGATTGGGAGTTTGAGATACTGTTAGTAAAGGAAAGTTGGTGTTAGTCTGTAAAGTGTGTACTGGGGTCTGGGTAAACTTTGCAAAAGCAAAAAGTAGATAACAGTAGTGGAGAGATACTGCAAGTACTTGGTTTTGGCCTAGGTGTAAGTTACTGAAAATCTAGGTAATACATATATGGAATATGGACTGCTCTAGTAGGTTTACTATAAGGATAAATTAGTCCTAAGAGTCCTTAGCAGCAGTTCCTCTTTAGAGAGAATATCTGACAGCACTAA